TGTTACTCAGTAACTAGAATCACCAACCTCGCCTGGTTAACTAGTTCACTAGTTACTAGCCGGTCCTAACCCCGGGTAAAGAGGGAAGGTTGGCCATAAGACTAGCAATCCTACCCCCTAAAACAAATCTAACCGCTAAAGAAACTTCAAAGCACAAACAAAATATAAAAAATGAAAACAAACTTATTCCCCGCTGGAATCGGAGAGGCGAAATGACGCCAGTTGGTGAAAGCCTCACTCGGGAAGCCAATTGGCCGATGTGTCTTCTCCTCTCTCGATGAAAGCGAAAGTAAACGTGGGGACATGGAATGTCCGTACGATGTTTGAACCCAGTAAGGCAGCCCAGATTGCAAAGGAGATGAGAAGGTATCATATCGAAGTGCTTGGGATTTGCGAAAGCAGATGGAATGGGAGTGGAATCTCCAAACTGTTAACTGGAGAATCAATAGTCTACTCCGGTCACCCAGACGACAACCACGAGCACACTGAGTTATCGAGTGACTATCATGATGTCCCCTTCACAAGAGCATCGAAGGCCCTTATGCAGTGGGAACCGATCTCCTGCAGGATCATGACAGCAAGTTCAACTCAAAAGGAAGGAAAGTCTTAATCGTACAATGCTACGCACCTACAAATAATGCAGATCAAGAGAAGAAGGAGGAATTCCACAGACAACTTCAATCAACACTGGACAAGACACCACCTCAGTTGGCGATATCAAAATTCTAATGGGTGGTGTGACATGAATGCCAAACTGGGAGGGGACAACACGGGAAGGGAACTAACCATGGGCCGAGAAGCGCAAGGTGTGGTGATGAACGAGAATGGAGAATTGTTTGCAGAATTCTGTGCATTCAACGACTTGGTGATTGGAGGCAGTGTGCTCAAGCACAAGGACACATTAAAAATATAATCGACTTCATCTCAATCTCAAGAAAATGGTGACGTAGTCTACTTGACACAAGGTTAAGAAGAGGAGCAAATGTAGGTTCAGACCACTATCTAGTGCACGGAACCTACCTTCCAAATCAAGTTAAAAACCTTCTAGGAAGCTGGTGATAGACCACAGTTCAAGTACAACACTCGGAAACTGAAGGACGAAACTACAAAGGAAATTTTCACGACAGCCATCAAGACAAAATGGGAGACATCGAGGGACATCCCTGAAAAAATCTGTGGAAGAACACTGGAAGTCTTTGAAAGAAATGTGGAAAGAAACCTGCACAGCAGTATTAGGAAGGGAAGAAGAAAGAAGATAATGAGTGGAATGGATCTCGACGAACACATGGAAGCTGATAGAGAAGAGGAGGATGGTGAAACAGAAGATAAACCAGTGCAAGGATGAAAAACGACAAGAGGAACTGAGTACAATGTATAAAGACTACACTGGACAAAGAAGTGAAGAAGAGTGCACCGAAGGACAAAAGACACTTCTACGACACACTGGCAAGTGAAGCAGAACAGGCTGCAGGTAAGAGAGACCTGACGACATTGTATCAAATAACCAGGTTGCTATCAGGGAAGAGACCAACACAGATGAAACCAATAAAAGATGATGAAGGAAATCTCATTACGAAAGAAGAGAAACAAAGGAAGCAATGGGCCGACCACTCCAAGAAGCTATTGAATCGACCACAACCTGCACTTCGTCCAGAAATACCACCTACAGCCCAGCCGCTGAACTACAAGTGAACATAAATCCTCCAACAAAAATGGAAGTCCTGAACGCCATAAAGCTACTGAAATGTGGGAAAGCAGCAGGACCAGATGGAATCCCACCAGAAGCACTGAAAACAGACGCAGATACAACAGCAGACATGTTCACACCACACCACTATTGCAGAAGGTGTGGAAGGAAGGGAAGGTACCTGCTAAGTGGTTGGAAGAAGGGATACCCTGGCAAACTGCTGAAGAAGAGAGACCTCAGTGTTTGCAAGAACTGGCAAGGAATCACTCTCCTGTCCACCCAATGCAAGTAAAATATTAAGCCGCATCATCCTGGAGAGGCTTAAAGATGCACTGGATTCAAAACTGCGACCGGAACAGGCAGGCTTCAGGAAGTACAAATCATGTGCAGACCAAATGGCAACCCTTCGCATCACCATGGAACAGAGTATAGAATGGCAATCAGCTCTCTACCTCAACTTCATCGACTTTGAGAAGGCCTTTGACAGCGTCGACCGGGAAGTAATTTGGAAACTGCTTCAATACTACTGAATACTGCAAACCTTTATCCGTCTCATTCAACAACTATATGAAGATGCTACATGCCAGCCAAGTAATTCACAATGGGAAGCTCAGTGATGCTTTTGAAGTGAAGACAGGAGTGAAACAAGGTCGCCTACTATCCCCCATGATATTCCTGATTGTGGTCGACTGGATCATGCAGAAAACAGTGGGGAGCGAGAAGAGGTGGATTCTCTGGACTGCGGAAAAGAACCTAGAAGATATGGATTTCACCGATGACTTGTATCTGATGTCACACACACTTGAAGATCTACAGGTGAAAACTAACAAGTGGACAGAAGAGGCAAGACAGCGAAGCTGGGATTTCAAGTGACTATACAGAAGACAGAGTTGATGAAGATACCGCACCAACAACTCCAACAATAACAACATGCTCCAATCACCATCAACGGAAGAAACGTGAAGGAAGTAACCTTCTTCACTTATCTAGGCAGCACAGGCACAGACGAGGATGTCGAAGTCAGAATCGGAAAGGCAAAACAGGCGTTCATTAGCCTGAAACCAGTGTGGAGATCTTCTGCACTCAGCATGTGGAACAGCATCCGGATTTTCAACACCAATCAGTCAAGTCAGTGTTTCTGTATGGTTCAGAGATTTGGCGCGTCACGAAAGGGATTTCCAATAAACTACAGACATTCATCAACAACTGCTTACACTCGCTACTGAAGATCAGATGGCCAGAATAATGAGAATAAGCAACAAGGAGCTCTGGGAACGAACCAACCAAGAACCTACCACCCAACAAATATGCAGAAGGAAGTGGAGATGGATTGGAAATACACTGAGAAGGCCGACTGGGGACATCACGCGTCAGGCAAGGCACTCGAGTGGAGCCCCGATGGGAAGCAACGAGTTGGACGTCCGAGGGTGACATGGAGGAGATCGTGCGAGGAGGAAATGAGAGGTTGTAGGCTGTCGTGGAGCAAGGTTCAAAAGATTTCAGGGAACAGAGTTCACTGGAGGCATGCTACTGAAGCCCTATGCTCCATTAGGAACCCAAGGGACTAATAATAATAATAAACTAGAATCACCATGCTCCAATGGAGAATAAAATGTGAAGGAATGTATAGAACAGAACATGTTTAAGGTTTTAGATGGAACAATGGTTTCTTTACTGCCTACCAAATTCAGACCGACTTTGTATTCATGCTGGTGACTATCAGTGGAACCTAAGATGTGTTCCGTCCTATTCTGGACTCGTCAACTGGATATACCCGCATTCCAATTCCTATTGAGACTCTAATCCAGTACTTATCGCCCCGAACGCCAAAGCGTTGTTCACTAGGCCACTGAGGCACGATAAATACCTCTTGCGCAACGAGTATCGCCTGCTATTTGATACGTTTAATAATCCGTCCCTACTTACATAATGCTTCGATTATGAGTAAAGAATAAGCCAGCTCCCTTGGTCACCTGTATAGATGTGTTTATCGATTCACCTGCTCCTTTGGAGTAAGGTGTGTTGATTGTACTCAGCGCTGGTTTTCCAAACGTATCTCCGAACACATACCAGTTTACTTTGACAAAGGAGAAAAGAAAGCGCCTTGAAGCTGTATTTTAGAACATTTGATCGATTATGACCACCCAGTAAGTGTAGAAAATAACTTCAATGTCGTTTATAGAGTTTGTGAAAGCCTAGTGAAAGGTGTATACTTGAAACTTCTTCAAATTGCGGAAGTCATAACAATATTTTGATGCATAAACTCTCCGTTCAAAAGAATTTATTCAGTCATTTGAGTTGAAATGTACATAACTTATAAGAATATTTTATTCTCAAAATCTTTTCTTTCATATCTCACATATAATATTGTTTCGATGTTGATAGGTTTTCTTTTGTATTACAATTTGAAACATTACGTAATTCTTTTTTCTGATTTCGTAATTTACAATCGAAAGTAAATTTTATTCAAAAATATTTTTTGAAATATTTCCTAAGAGGTAGGATACAACCAGCTGACGAGTCCCAAACAGGACGAAATACATGGTGTAGATTCCACTACTAGCGACTACCTATTATATTACTATAACAAAGTGAAAATTATTAACATTTTTTTCTGAAGACAAAGAGGTTTGATTCATGAACTCACTTCAGAACAACCTAACCATCTGGGCAAGTGTTCAACTATACAAAACATAGTCGTCTTACCCTATGACTTATATAATATTTCCTTTTAAAAACATACATTGGATTGCGAATATATCCTGTTAGAATTGTCAAGAAAAGGATTCAATGTACTAATAAATATGAACTAGAAATTATAGATAGTAAAAGTTATTATTATTACTATTATTGTCACTATTGTTTGTTACTATTATTACTTATTATTATTATCATTGTTACTAGTATTATTACCATTATTGCTATTGTTATGATTATCATCACTATCACTATTATTACCACTACTATTTTTATTACTATTACTACCATCATTACCATTATTATTATTATATTGTTATTATTCGCTATCATAACAAAAGATGAATGAGGATTTTTAATTTAGAAGTGGCATTCATCATGGACTGACATCAGTTGGGAAACCATTGAAAATCTGGGAGCACTGGACACCTGTTTCGTCCCAGTATGGGACTCCTCAGCAGTACGCACCCACGACCCGTATAGGGGTCGAACTTAGGACCTTAAGGTTTTACAGCAAGGTGCAGTAACTACATCCATTCATTATCTATCTATATTATTAGAAAGTAAATAAATAGATGATGAAAAAGGTTGTACATTAACACTAGGTTACACTTACTTGCTTGATCTTGAGTATGCTTAATGGCGAAACATTGTTCTTCTTTGTTAAAGAATTCAATTAAGACTTTAAATTTTCGTATATCTATATATTGAAATTATTTTCGTTGCGTTTAATGATTCGATAAGAAAGGAGAAGAAAAAATGACAACTAAATTAGTTACAAATTAATATGATGATGAAAAATATGTTTAAGACTTAGTATAAAAAAATTCAAAGGTTAAACAAGATTTTTCTTTTTAAACAGTAAAGAAATATTTCTTTTCAATAATTTTGTTCATTTGGTTTATCACACACACACACAGTGAGTGATAGAATACTATTTACTGGATGACGTTTCGAGTATAAATTACTAATTGCGCATAATCATATCGATGTAATCACGCTCCACTTTCGATATCTGTTCATTTTTTATAGTCTTGTCACCTCATATCTCTAGTATGGATGTGTTGCATCATTCCTATCCCACATGTGTTGGGTGTTAGCTGATTCGATGAACAGAGATACAGTAATCAGTCTCTCCCTTTCTCTCCACCTAATTGTATTGAACTTAAGCTCTACAATGGTTTCATCTCACCTACCGTATTGTGTGGTTATGTGTTAATGCATCCATAGGAATAGTCGAGTTTTTCTTTCTGGATTATTGATCTTATTTGAGTCTATCATTCTATGTTGAGCTAATCTAAGTGACCCCGACTGGCTAGTCTCCCCTATGTACTTGACCTCACGGTTATCACATGAAATTTGATAGGATTATTCCGCTGAATTGGTTCCATCGGATCCTTAAGCCACCCAACGAAGCTCATCTCTGAGTGAGGCTGTGTTACCTTTGTTGGGGTCAGTTAGAATAGTGGAATATAGGGATTTAGCTAAATATAGAAAGAAAGACCCCAATACGACCATTATTCGACTGTTGGAACCACACAATAGGCTGGGTGGGATAAAACCACTGTACCGCTTAAGTTCAATATAATTAGGTGAAAAGAGAGAGAGAGAGATTGGTCACTGAATCTTTGTTCATTGAATCAACACCCAATAAATGTGGAATAGGAATGATGCAACATTTCTACTAGAGATATATGGGAAATCATACTACCAATAAAAACAGATCATATGAGGTGACACGACTACAAAAATCAGATATTGAACACCGTATGATTACATTGATATGATTATGAGAAACAAGTAATCGATGCTCGAAACGTCATCCAGTAAATAATACTATATCACTGTGTTATAAATCAATTAAACAAATCTAATATGGAGTAACATTCTACCACAGTGTTCAAGTTTTACACTCATACTACCTTACAGTCTTATTTATCATCTGTTAGATGTCAAACAGACGCATCAACAAAGTTACTCAGTCAATATACACATGACACAACTAGTGATGGCAATGGTGGGAGGGATTGGTTCGAGGGAAAAAAATAGAAAAGGAGTTTCTTAATAAGGGATGAATCGATTTCAAGTGGTGAAATGGGAGGTCTATTGTTGTCAGAGAAGTGTGAAATGTTGATAAATGAAGTGAAGTATACGAATGTAAATGAAATGAAATTATAAGCTAACCAGAATGAATTATTAAGGCCAAATTAGATTATTCACATGCTCCAGTGGAGTAGACTATATTGGATGTTGTAAGCAAGCCTTCTTTCTGGAGACGCATTGCATAACACTACCTAGATAATATGAATATGAGCAGTAAATTCTGCTCCAAACGTCATCTTGGTTATATTAAATAAACAATCTAATATGGAATTATACTCTGCCACAATGCTCAAGTTTTACTCTTCCATTAGCGATGACAGAACGACAACTTGATCTATATTTGAGAACACTTAATGAGTCTAGGCCATTCAGCTCGTCGAGATTCATCCAATAAGCTAAATTGAACTATTTCAATGGTGTACGTTTTCACCACTTATGCATACCTAAAGCACTAGCTAAACATTATCAATCAAAAGCAGAAATAATGCATTCAGAAGTGTATTGTGAAACTCCTTTCTCCACTTTAGTGTTAACAGTTCATTCTAGTTAGCTTGTCAATTTAATTTCACTTCATTTGGTATACTTCAGTTCAATTGAAATAAATTCATTCATTATTCAACGACTCCTTTTCCATTTATTCCCCTTGGACTAATCCCTCCCTTCCACTACCATCATCACCACCATTACTGGTTGTGTCAGGTGCATACTGACTGAGAAACTTTGTTGATGCATCCTATCTGACATCTAACAGATAATAAATACAGTTTGATAATAGGAGTCATTGAGAAGAAATATTTCTTCGCTGGTATAAAATCGTGTTCGTCTTATTCATGAATAAATGAGTTTATTTCGCCAGTTAGAAGAAACAACTGAAGGTTACTTGAGAACGACGCGTATACGAGGAATTCCTTTGATTGAAGCACTATCGGATGAAACAAGTTGGGCTCATTATAGTTAAGAACGGAAATCCCATCCATCCATCCAAATCAACATAGAACCAGGCATTACTGCGTAACGGTCCAACTTGCCACACCTCATATCAGTACATCAAGTCAAAAGGCAGTGAAGTGGAAGATGAAAATAAGAAAATCCAGTAAAAAGAAATATAAAGTACTAAATGAGAGGAAGGAAGAATGAGAAAATGATGAGATTCGGTACATCGTCGTTAAGATGTGGATAATGTATGTATACATCTGAGCCACTGACATCGGTTCTGAGCCATATCCCTTAGAGTCTCCAACCACTGGTTCTCGCCAACCCTAACCACCTAGTCTGCATCGCCATATATGGCCCAAACGAAAGACTTCATACACTGATGCAATGTTTTAGTCTGGCCGCCTCAAGCTTTTTTCCAGCCTGGACCTACTTCGGCCAACATTGCGTGATGAAGTAATCGGTGACTAGGCATACATAACACATGTCGGAGCCAACCATCTTAGTCGATGAAGGTTCACAACTGTGCTAACTGATTTACCTCTTCTCCCTAAAACTCTACGTCTGACTTCTGCGTTACTCACGTGGTGACACCACGGAATACGGCCTATACTATGAAGGCAACGGTGGTCAAACACCTGGAACCTTCTCATGTCTTCCACCTTCAATGGCCATGTTTCACAGTCATACAGTAGAATATGATGGACTGCTGTGCACTACACATGACCTTTAGTAGACAATCGGATATCACGGCAGCGCCATAGGTGGCACAAATTGGCAAAAGCCAACCGAACCTTTTGAATCCATGCAGATATTTCATCGGCCACTGGCCAAGGCACCAGGGGTGATCCTACTTCCCAGATAACTGAAGTGGTCGACACACTCAACCACTACACTCTCGATTGTTAGCCAAGGCACCGTTGAAGACCAATCCTGGAGCAACAATTTGCATTTCGATGGTGAGGAATGGATCCCAAACATTCTCAAATTGATGCTCAAAGTGTTCAGAAGACTCTGAATCTTGTCAGTGTCTTCAACTAACAGGACGAGAGGGAGACCTCATAAAAATATCTATGATAGAGTTGAATAAAATGGAAAGAGTAGGCAGCCTTGGTGAACATCTCTTGAGGAGTACAGCATCCCGTACATCTCGTAGAACAATAACTCACCAGATAAGGTTACTCGCACATGAAGTAAGGCTTTGTAAGTTGCATTCACCAATCAAAATTTAATCCCTATTGCACAAAAGACTTAACTTTCATGTTATAAGATACAGTTGGCGGTAATTTGAGCTCGTTATTATACGGTTAGTTAAGAAATAAGTCTTGCTTCTTCACAAAGTTGAGAATATTCGTGCGTCGAACTGACAAAAAGCAACTACACCCTGAAGTGATGGTAATATTATTCTGATTAGTGGTACTTTTTTTCCCTTTGAAATTCTATCTGCCAGAAATATCAGTTGGAAAGCTAGATAAAAGACACAGGAAGCTATTGATGCGTTTTGGACGGTAACGTCATGGTAGGTGTTCGTTCAGTTATAGAGACAATCAGTCTTCAGTTACACTTTTTACAAAGATCACAAAAGTTTAGTTTTAAAAACTGTGAACCCCACATTACCTCACGGTTTAATATTGCTACATATAAGGTTACAAAGGAGATGGAGAAAATTCTTCGAAAATAAGCAGTTCTAAGTGGTAATATATTACTTTGTTGCTATGGGACTTGTTTGTGTTATTACCTCCGCTGACATTTAGGAGTGAAGTGGCTGAGTGTATTGACCACATCATGTACTTAGGAAGTCGCAATGAATAAGGCGAATAGACAGACAAAGTCAACGTAGAACCTAGCACACAACTGCACCAGTTCAACTTGCTCCACTTCACAGCACCATGGAAAGATCAAGACGGTAGAAAAAGACTGATATCGAAGTAAACAAAGTTGTTTGAGAGAATAAACAATTTTAGGATTTCGGTTAGTGTAAATATTCAAGCTTTAAAAGATGTCAGATAATGAATACATCTGCGCCACTGTGACCTTTTCAGCCACGTCACCTAGAGTCCTCAACTACTGATTCTTTTCGTCTCAGTCAGGTAGTCTACACCTACCTCCCTTCATGGTTCAGCTGAACAGTAAGATACTTCATCGACTATTGTAAGGTTTTGGTATGGCCACTCTGAACCTATTCCAACTTAATCCAATTTCTTCTAGCATGGTATGTCGGGCTAGGACACATGCCACACATGTTTAGGAATCGTCCACCTTGACGCGCACAACAACTGTAAGCTACACTAGTGTGAGATTAACAAACCAACAGACTGCCAAAATGAAAATACCTGGAGTGAACTTTTACCTAAAACAAAATATCGAATATACATAAGTTTACCTTGGACAGGTTTTCCCTCAGAAACTTCATAAATGTCCTTTACAAAACTTAAAGTAGCCTCAGATATATGCACTTTTCCCGCTTCACCACTGGACTCCATTTCATTGGCCAATGTTACATCATTTGACCAAACATCAAATTTAAACCGTCTTGTCCCAACAATACCACAGATTACTTTACCTGTGTGCACACCAACACGCATATTAACCTGTAGTAACGAAAGAAAAGTGAAGATGAGATAAGAAGACAGAAGAAACAGGCCTCATGAAAAGCAAATGAGAATGGAAAACTGAGAACATATCTTACCACCATTAAAAAGTAAACGTGTGCAACGCATTTCGATGGCATTACGACAGGCATAAATCGATTGGTTGAATGAAGGATACTTTCATTGATATGCCAAAAAAATCAACTCAGTAAAACACTAAGAATATATGGATTTGAATCGCTCTACATTTGATATAATTATGTTCAGACGGTTGAAATGAGACGATAGAAAAGTCAATTGCTATTCTTACTACTATTACTATTATAACTACTATTATTATTATTATTATTACAGTGACTAAATACACACAAATGACGAAGATACTAGTCCTCTGGCTAATATATGAAGGAATCTAGCCGTTATTGCAATCCAGAAGCAGTCATGCCACTAATATTTCATTCTCATGAATGCAACGTATATAGAACAAGCTGAAAAACCTAAACATCTGAATGTTGAGAAGAAATCGGTTTTTATTCCACTGACGCTGAGATACTATAAAGTATAGATAGAGGGATATCAAAGTGCCTTAAAGAGAAGCTCCCATCTTCCAAACTCATATCAGTTTCCAACAGTACATGCTCATTGAGTTAATCTAAGGTAAACAAATACCATTCTTACATCACATGTATTTGTGGAAACGAGTGCATAAGAAAGACAGAGCATTTAATCTACATTGAGACTATAAAGTAACCTGTTGAGAATGTGGTACTAATCAAGCCACTACTATCGTTGCCAAACACGTTCTGGGCTGTCCGCATTGTAGGTTGATGAAACGTGATCAGCATATACCACCACCGCTTCAGCCGATTCCAGTAGCAGCAGTTGGTGACCTGTGGTCTGTGGACGTAATGGGACCATTTCCGCAGACACCCAGTGGCAACCAATATCTGTTGGTGATGACGGAGCATGCTACACGATGGGTCACGATTCCTGATCAACGCGCGAAGATAGTGACCGCTGCAGTGATGCGGCATATTGTCGAAGATTATGGTGTACTGAAGATGATATTGACCGCCCAAGGTCCTTGTTTTGAGTGAAGAATTCAAATCCTGTTTGGAACAGCTCGATATCACGAGGATAAGAACAACACCGTACCACCTGCAGACTAACGGGTTGACAGGATGTTTATTATTGACATCTTGTACAGTAGTCATCATATATGGTAACCCCTTCCACTAAGACAGTCATTTGCATAATGTGCTTCATTTTCTCCTCTGCCCCTATCTTGATTCGCTCTTAATACGCTCACATTGTCTCTTGCGTTCCTGTAGGCAGAACTGTTACCCAGTGCTGATGATTCCTTGGTTTTCGCAGCCCTCGCAACATATACTACTTATATCCATTCTGATCAGCAACGTCCACTACACCATTATTTTTATACGATGCTAGTTCAAGCGATTAACTTTCTAGCAATAAGCCACCTACCGAGGTTTCGGTGATCAGGTCACAATACACGCGTAACTCATTGCCTACTTCACGAACGTGTAAGTGGTTGCTGAGTAAATTCCGATGTTTTTTCGATAAGCAAATGAAAGCATATGGTGTTTGTTTGCAGAAAATGAATGTACAACCAAGTTACCGGGTTTTAATAATCTTTTTTTGTAGACTTTTATCTATTATATGCCACCCAAAACAGAATTTTTGTAAGCTTTTATGGTGGACTAATAGTTACAAGTGAAATATATCGCTCAGAATGCCACCAAGAGACACTGCTAAGCTTTTTTGTTCAATACATCCAACTTCCTCTTCTATACTACCTGACTTAATGTTGTATCATAGGTTAATAAATGCATAGTACACAGTTAGATCGATAAACATATTAGTGACTGCGCACTGTAGCATTGGTTACTATCATCATACAATCAACTAATGAAATAAACTGTATTTGAAAAGAAAAACTGATAAACTTAACCCTTTTTTTGCATATATTAGCTTGCTTATTGAAACAATGAATTTGGTAAAAACAAGTAACTGAGTACTTCAATATTCCTTTACAGAATACCGACTGTAACAATAAATGATTTGAAAATCCCTATTGATCACTCCATTTGACAGTATTGATATTTACTTGAATAATTTCACTCTCATTATGGATATTATGGCTTTTAACACTAACAGATGTAATATTCTTTTATTATTTCCTTGTCATTATTTATCTTTGTTTTGATGGAGGCTTATCATGAATGCTTCAATTTGCTATTGTGTGATGGCTAGACTGTTGACAATATGGTGTTAATTTACTGTTTCCGACATTCCGTTTTGCTTCAACCTAAGGTTGCGCTGTGAAGTGACTGCTTGTCTACTGTCTACTGGAAACATTTATTAACTTGACTTTTTGAGACAGAATTTTGATTCCATATTGTTGGGAATATTCTTATTGATTCCCAGGTGTTTAGTGAATCAATTTCTTGCTGTATAGTAGGTATTCCGTGCCAGACAGACTTTTGGACTGTACAGTTGCCCAGTGGTATTGTTGAGATACTTTTGTAATTTTGACAAAACTTGTTTTTGTTGTTTAACAGTATCACAGATTTATCACGTCAAATCGTTTTTTGACATTGTTGAAACACAATCTTTGACTGTGCATAACTCATGAAAGTTTGAGAAAGTATGCAGTAGAACGCAGGAACTTGCCTGGACCACGTTGGCTTGAATCCGTTAAATTGCTTCCTGAGTTCAACCCGAAATACTTGGATTTTGATAGTTACACCGACTTCATGTGGCAAATTATTGATTAGGCAGTAAGCAATACACGTGTAGCATGACCACCTTCTAGAATGGTAGACTTGTAACCCCCATTACACGATCACAAGTACTTCAACACACAACAATAAATGAGTGATTCCCTTATATTACAATTTACACGTTTCAGCTACAGTCTTTCCAACATAAACGATGATTAAAACAGTTAGTACAAAAAGATAGGTATCAGACTTAGCCGTAGGTGTACTGACCAGGTATTTTACTCTGCACTAAGTTCCATAACACTGGCATACCTACTGACAACCAACACTAGGTGTATTTCTTGACCTGAAGACGACATGCAACCTCGTTGATTGTGAGGTCTCATGGCGGTGTCTCTCACTGAAAAAGGTAACAAGTACATTACTCTATACTGCAAAACTTCTGGGCGTGTTACAGCCTATGGTGCATTATGTACTTCAAGGATGTTTACTCTCTCCATTCTTACTCAACTTTTCCATAGAATACTTATGAAGGTCTTTCCTCTCATCGTATGATTCCACAGGAATTGGTCTCATCACAGGAGAAGCTCCGTGGATCTCGAATACGGAGATGAAGATGCTGACAAGATATACAGTCTTTTGGATACCTTGAACGATAATTTCAGAATGTTTAGGATACGTTTTTCGTCACTAAAATGATTTTTTTTTCCGCGACAGGTATTCAGTGCTGAACTATCTAACAATGAAAAGTGAAACTGTTCAGCGCGTTGACCACTTCACATATCTGGGAAGTCGGACCAGCCCTGGTAGGCTAGAAGCCGAAAAAATCTTGGGATGGATATAAAAGGTTCGATTGGCTTCGCCAAATCAAACTATTTACGGCATCACCATGATATCCAATTTTATATTAAGGGTCGAGTGTACTGCGCTGCACTTCGCTCTGTTCTACTACGTAATTTTGAAACATGGCCATCAAAGGTAGAAGGTATGAGTAGGCTTTAGGTATTCGACCACCGCTGCCTTCGTAGAATGTAGAAGTCAGGTGTAGAGTTGTGAGAAGAGAGAATTTAATTGATCAGGTTGTGAACCTTTATTGACTGAGGCATCCAGAACACTGCCTGCCTAGTCGTGCAAATTTATATGAAATATATTAGATGGAAAAAGGTTAGAGGCGCTCAGACATAAAAACATAGCATCAGTGCATGAAGTCTCCGGTTGTTGGTTTGAGTGGTGTAGGAAAATGCAGACTTCTCGGTTAGTATCGACATCATAACTGAGACCATTTGTAGAGCCACTCTAGGCGTTATGACTCATAATCGATTTCAGTGGCGCAAACGCACGCTAGTTCAATTGTCATGCCAATTTTTTCCTATCTCATACCTTCTTGTTCTCTATTCACAACTTCCTACCACTTTCGACCACTTTATACCTTAAACTTCTATCTTTCCTCGTTGTGCTCCGAACCTTAGTGTGGCGACGTAAACCACTACACAATAACGTCAAGTACTATGTTGATATTGACTAGCTGACTGATTATCTGTCCTCATGGTTCATAAATGAGACAATAATAACGAATATCAGTAAGCACAAACATTTTGACAGATAAAATTGTGTAATGACGATTTGCAAACTTATCTAAATGGAGAACAGAACCTCTGAAGATTTTTTGGCGAAAGGAAATGCATAAATAGCAACAGAATTATTTGATGTCAGTCAATGAAATAATATAGAAGACGGGTACACGCACAGAGGAAGAGAGAGAGAGAATAAGTCTTCTACAATTACAATATAAACCGTATTTTTTCGAGTACTATATGTACTATTAGGTCTCTCAAACTACAGATGAATCAAAGAGAGGATCGATACATGACTCTAATACATCCAGCCTGCTGGTGATTACTTCAATGTGATTATTTGTGAGAGTCATTCATTAAAATTGATTTTGGCAACAAAAAAATACATGGAATTGACTTAATCTTAAAAGTTATTATCAATCTACTGTTTTAAAACAACACATATTTATCAATTCGACCCAAAACAATTCCTGGAAATATACGTAGAAGAACAAGGCAAATCTATTTGATCAACTTAGCAGCATAATGCTTATCTTCAAACATCAACAATCCTTGAGTGTTATTGCTTGTATCATACCGTCGTTGATCGGTCTCTATTGGTATATGGGCTCCTGTGAGGATGCCTCGATATACCTGTGTTCACTCACTGAGAGGCAGGTACATCCAGCTGACGAGTCCCAAA